TTTATAAATAAAGAAACATTTGTATTTTTTTTTAAAAAGTTCACTGTATGGAAAATTTTAATTATTGATACTAGACCTATGGTTCTTAGACATAAATCATGCAATTTGATCTGCTTAACAAGTTCTATTAGTAGACTTTGCATACTAGCTAATAATTTTAGTGAAGGAGATATATAGGTTTATATAACTGTATCGCAAATTTTTACTATCAAAAAACGTGATCTGTAAGAAAATTTTCACATTATTTCCTTACCTGTTATATGTAACCCCCAAATAAATTTTTTTAACAAAAGTATGGGGTTTTGAATATCATTTTCTAAACAAGAAAGGTTGTGGTGGTATTCCAGGAAAATGTCTATCTTTTTGTATTTATGATCGTAATTCCAATTCCGTTTAAGGGATAGTGCAAGGACCTATAAACGGTCGATGATTATCACATGACTTTAAAAGCTTATTAAATAATCCGATAGAAATAAAGCTAAAAAGGTTTTGAGTTATGAGACTTCAAGTTAGAACATTTTATATATATGTGTCTAGAATGATCTTGTCAAAAAAATATCCGTGATACAGAGAATTTTTCTAATATATATATACATAAAAGAAATATTATTACTTAAACGAGAAAGATCTTCTAAAAATTTTAAATTTCGGACTGACACATTTATAGATGACTTGAACCCATATATAAAAAAACTAGTGATTTCTAGCACTGTGTATACACCAATATTAATCCTGTATTTTTAAATTTTTACAACAAAAAAAATTGTAATCATTCATCGCATGCATAACTAACTTGTTAATTATGAACTATAATATATTGTTTATTTAGAAGAGTGCGCATATATATAATTTTTTTTTTACCAAAATAAATGTGAAAATGTTGTATTATCTCGCTCGATATTTTTAAATTGGGTGTCAATCATTTAAAGAATCATAGCCAACACAGCAAAAATCGTTCACTACAATGTTTTACCTTTTGAATTTGCTCTTGTGCTTGCTTTCCAAGAAATTCAGTTTAATAACAAAAACCGTTTTGATATCAAATTCAAAATTTTCGTATTAATATTTAAAATATATAATATATAAAGAATGGAACAACATTCGGTTGGTGAGTTTTAAAAATAGATATTTATTCCGAAATTAGAATTTTTTTTTACGCCTTTATATTATAACGTTAATTAATAAATAATAAATAATAATGAGGATTTACATAAATAAATTACATAAATAAATTACATTTAAAAATACAATGAATGTATGAAAATGATAACAATAGCATTAGCAACAATTATTGTTATAATTATGAAAAATACTGATATAGTAATCCAAAATCATCTCTGTGTGAATATAACCAAACTTGATTACTATTTTCCTGGTACCTTTGTTTTTTAAGTGCATCTTGAACAGTAATAATATATTCTTTTTGATGAGCCGGGACAATATCTAATACTATTAATTAAATTAAATTACCAATTAGTAATATGACATTATTCTTAATAATAGTAGCAGTAGCGTAAATATATTTACTTTTGCTCTTGAATGATTCGTCTTCTAGTACATTACAATCTATGAATTTCCTTAACAAGTCTCGGCTAACATCAATCGATATTACTGGAATATTTCCATTATTAATGTTTGATAAAAAATTTGACACGTTATCATGCGCTATGCGTATATATTTACACAAAATAGATATATATTTTTTAAATTATCATTAACAGTCTCATAAAAAATTTTTTTTGACCACACAAAAACGACATTTTACATACCTTTATCTCTTAATAATTGTTTTTGTTTTAATTTCATTTTTTTACTAGGCTTGCTTGGCGTCGAAACTCCTACTATATTAATATTAAAATTAGATTGTTGATTCGATGTTTCCGGCGATATTGATAAATTGGTATTGCTAAATTCATGTAAGGTTGCTTTTTTTAAAAAAATATATAATTAATAATTTTATAAATTTAAAAAATTTTTTAAAATAATAATATCTTACATTCGTTGATTGAAATTGAGTTGTGTTTATGATATTTACTACCGGAGGTTTGATGATCGATTCTCATTTGTTCTTGAATTTCTGAACTTAGTTTCATACAAACCTCATTACGTGGAACTAATAAAAATAAAAAATATATATTAATATATATTAATATAATATTTTCATTGTTACCACCATCATTCCCATTAATTAATCGATCTTACCTTCATCCTCTGTTTTCCACAACAGATTTTTAACTTTAACAGTTGTTATGGCATCTCTAAATGATGTTGCTTTATAATTATCTTGATTCTTTTGCTTCAAAATAACTATCCAATTAATTCCTTGATTCTTACATGAACTTGCTAGAATTTCTGGTGTAAGATCTTCTGGCTCTTCGTACATAAAATCTGTTTTGATATTATGTGCCCATAATTCACGAACAAGTTCCAATCGTTCATGTATCAAGATTTTACCGAAACTTGCTACGTAAACATCACACTAATATATATATATATATATATAGTTCAGTTTCTTAACAAATAAATAAAATATATTTATATTTCTTTACCTTTTTAAGTGCCCAATATCCAAGACTTTTATCTTCTTCGGCTTTTTTCGATTGAATCGTTTTACAAAGTGTTGATTGATATGTTTCTAATGCAATAACTATCTTTTGCAATGCTATATTAACTCCAACTGCATATGTGTTTTGTCTACTTCGACTTGGATTATTTGTAATTACTGGACGTTTTTAAGGGATAGGAATTTTTATATAATAATAATAATAATAACAATAAATTTTGGCGAAAATTTTAGCAGATTAAAATAACAGTTTAAAAAATTAAAAATTATTCATTCCTGAAAAACCTTTATTGTTTTTTAACTTTAGCGTGTAGAAAATGAAGTAAAAAAAAATCAAGAACAATTTAAAAAAATAAAATAATAAAATGAAAAAGTCATCCATCCATCCAAGAATGAGAAAAATAATTAATTACTTTTCCCCACTATATCATATTTTTTCTTCGGAAAAAGTGTATTTTAAAGTATACATTATTAATATGCACACTATACTAATACTATACTAATATGTGAAATAAAAAAGATTATTACAAGAATATCTTCCCTTCCAACCTATTACTATATTATTATAGTGACTACGTAATTTTTAAATCTTATTTTTTATCACCCCGCCATAAAGTAATATAGCACATTTTTTTATTTTTTTAATATTTATTATTATAAATATAAATATATATATATATATATATTTAATTCTTGATAAAATTTTGGTATCTCGATTTATTGCAGTTAATTTTTATAACCTAAATAATAAATAGATAAAATTAAAAAAGGATATATATATTTGTTTGATAATACTAATACATTAACTTACCACGTGATCTTATTGTTTGTTTTTCGTGTTGTTTTGTAATTATAATTTATACGAGAGATTAAAAATTTAAAAACGGGAAAATTTAAAAAGAATAATAATAACGAATTAATTATTAAAAGTAACGAAAACCTGATATAAAAAATAAAAATCATTTCTTTTATTTCTTATAAAAAACCTTTACGAAAAAATTTTAAGGAATTCCCGTGCATTTTTTAATATTTAATGTAGGAAAAAAAAAACGAATTTTGCTAATATTGCTGTCGTAGAAAGAAAACGAATTTTTAAAAAAAGGAAAAAAAAAAAATGAAAACAGTTATCTAGGGTGGGCAAACATTATTGTGTCATTTAAAAATTGATAAATGGGTGGGTATTAAAAAGAAATATAAAAGAAAAAAGGGTAATGGAGAAAGTTAATGATATATATATATATAATAAATAAATACGTTTAAAAAAGAAGAAAAAAAAGAATGTAATCAATCTCTTATATAAAGAGAAAAAGGAAAAAAAAAAAAAAATAATGCACGTGCGTAATAAAAAATTCGTGATCCGATTTAAAGAAATTTTTTTTTAAAAAAAACAACTAAGATATATACAGGTAAGTTGGACAGGTCGGTCATCTATTTAGTACTCTGATTGAGAGGACCACTTATTGTGCAATTTATGTCAAAAAGTAAATTTACAAAAAGTTTAACATTTTTTTTTTAATTAATTAATCAATATTAATATTAGTCAATATCATTTAATATTGACTAAAACGTGGGTTTTTTTTTGAACCCACGCGTACATGTAAATAGTTCGAGTTTTTTAATGTATCACGAGTAGATGCATTGATTGATACGAAACAAATAGTAATAGATTAGTAGAAAGATTATGTAAACAATATAAAAATAAATAATTTATACAGCATCGATTTATTTTTTTAATTTTTTTAATCGACATTGTATAATGTAGGTTGTACATAATTGTTAATTTTACGATTTACGATATGATTACATTTTTCATGTGTTGAGACAGAAAAAAAACTAAATATTTCCCTCAGCCAAACAAACACGTATACAAAAATATTATTATATTTGAACGTCAAAGTGGAGTTGATCACTTCCTGATATATAAAAAAATAAAATTTTTTTTTCAAGGACCCTTTTGATTATAATGAGTGAGTGAGTGAGTGAGTGAGTGAGTGAATGAAATGAATGAATGAATGAATGAATGAATGAATGAATGAATGGTTTTATACAATTATCATTGCACGTCTATATAATCCTTTCTCTCTCCCTCGTTCTTTAATAATCATACATCAAGAGTCAAGTCATCTTATCGGTTGGCTGCATAATCTTTATTCACATGCTAATTTCTTGAAAGTAAAATTTATAGAAACTAACTACTCTACATTATTAAATTTTCTGTCATCGCAATAATTTTGGTATAGACTTAACCCCCACAAACTGTATTATGAAAAAAAAATTTCTCACAAAAAAAAATCCACAATATTTATTATTGTTGTTTGTTAAATTGATTAATTAATTAATCAATTTATTTACATACAAATAATTGATTATATGATTAGTGTGAACGAGTGAGTTAGAGTGAATGAATTTAATATCGTGGGGAAATTTATTTAATATTAATATTTAATATAAATATTAAACAGGTTTTGAATGATGAATGAACTTTTGATATCAAATGATAAAGGGCGTACAAAATGTAATCTTTAACATGGTAATTATTTTTTTGTCAAACTATTGGTTCAATGTATGTATTATATATATTAACAATTTTGAAGGATGGATGGAATGTGATTCTTGGAGAAACTTTATTTTTAACGCGATTGCAACATCACGTGACAAACTTTAAAAAAATCACAAAGATTACTTAATTAGTAAAATTTGTATTGTGGGGTAAAAAGCATCGAATGGAAAGCATATATAGATTAAAGGTAAATAAATAACCATAGTTTACAATTACTTTCCATCTTGTTCATTCATGTAATAACAATAACAACAGAATATAATTCACCCATTCATTTCATTAATGCATGATCGTTATCTTGACATAATGTGGGGATAATAATACCACCTGATCCGTAAATTAATATTAATATTAGTTCATAAAATAAAAACTTAATTTGCATATTTTATTTGTTAATTAATATATATGAAAAAACAATAACTGCATTTAGATACATGACCTCATACAATCATTTAAAATTTTTACATTGTTAATTCTTCACTTGAATCACTCTCACCACTTAAACTTTTTAATATGGCAAACATAAGACTATCAGGTTTTGAATTGATCTTGAACACTCCGCCAAGTGAATTTTCGGTTCTCTTTAATAACTCTTTATATAATTCATAAAATTTTTTCTTTTCAGAATACTGCGTGTGTGATATTTAAAATTCATGATTAATAATAAGTTTTAATATAAATATACATATATATAATATATTAATAGTTACCGGAACTACTTGAACTACACCAGCAAGTAAAACCTCGGACCAATCTCTTATTAGCTTGAATTTTTCTGCATTTCCAGAATCTGTTATTATTTGAACATTTTCTTCAGATGCCAATTCAATCAAAAGTTTTAGTGTAAATTCGTGGAATATTTTTCTTCTATTGGCTACTGACAAAAAGCACGAAACTACTGCTCACCATCTTTTGCTACAAAGTGCACGTATTCTATGTTTTGTAATGACAATAGTGGTGAACGTTTGGAATGCATAGTCATAAATATCATCCACATCTTTTTGAATTGTTAAACTAAAATAAGTAAAACACTGTCGAAATCTATCTGTGTCTTTATTATCTAAGCGTTCAGCCAAATAATGACAGAATAACTATCGGTATGCATTTATGTATGTATGTATAAATAAATGTAATATTATAAATAATGTAATTAAACATAAGGAAATATATTTAATCTACTAACCTTTCTAGCAAGTTCATTTTTTTTTAATATTGCAACCTCAGGTTCTCTGAATCGAAATATAGGTTGGTCATTATTACTCCCAGTATCATTTTCATCATCTATTGTAGGATTCTCATTAAAACAAGATTTTATCTCTTCTTCTCTGCATTTATCATCATACATAAAAAGCAATAACTGTCGATAAAATATTTCATAAATATCTGCCTCATCAAACGGTACTTCATAAAATTCTCTTCTTTGTAACATTTTTCGTGAATTTATGCCAAGGTTGACCAGTTCTGTCAAGAATTTTAAAAGTGATGTCTTTTCATGCTATTTCACAAAAAGTTTAGATATAAATATAAATATACGTGAACCTTTTGTTTTTTATAAAAATATATATCTACCCTTATAATTAAAGTGACATCATTGACATGTCTAGTCGGGTGTTTTCCCAAGTAATCTGTTTCAACATATTGTTTGAGTTGTGCTATTATTTGAGCAGTAAATACATTGGCGATAAGTGGATCCAAGAAGAGGAATGCACAATCACTATATATGATAATAATAATAATAATTGTTATTATTATCATTTAAAAATATAATCGGAAAAATGATTGATTGATTCATTTCTTTATCAAAAAAAAAAAAAAAAAAACTACTTGCATGTATTCTGTAGCAATATTATTTTTATAACAATCATCTAATATCCTTTTAATTTCAACAATTTGTTCCAATTTAAATCCTTGTCTAAGTCCCTTATTCAAATACCAAACTACATGATACGCAGGTTCTAATTTACAAATCTAAAAGAAAAATATAAAATAATTATTAAAATAAATATTAAAATAAATAATATTAATCTTAAAAAATAACAACTTAATAAATTTTCTTACTTGAATCCTTCCAGCATTTTGCATTGCCATTAAAAAATCAAATTTAAATGTTGGAATCTTTGTCCATCCATACTCTCTAAACCAATCTCTAAAAAATTGTGGAATAGCATGAAAAAGTTCTTTATTATCGCCAACTAAGTTAACCAATTCAAGAACACCACGTTGATTAACTCTTTAATAATGAAGATAATTTATCGGCATTAGGATTACTCTTCTTTTTTTAAAAAAAAATTATATTATTATTAAATACTCACCTGTAATCTAAAATCTCATATATACTAACTCCTCTTATCTCCCTACTCATCAATTCTATAAAAGCATCCTTCAGATAATCTTCAAATGCTGGTTGCACATATTCCTTAAACAGACTTATATCACGAGACAATATTTCACGTTTAACTTCAACTGAACATTCCTTTTAAAAAAAATAAAAAAAAATAAAAAAAAAATTAAATTAAAAAATAACTCTATTTTTGAATTCTGAATTTAATACTTACTGGTATAACCCATGATTCTCTCTTTAAAAATTCAAAAATATTAGTGTTTGGACCCTTCAAACGTTTATAATATTTATTAATAACTGATATTATCACTTTACGAAATTCATCAGATTCAAATAAAGACTTGTTAGAATTTATAAAATTTTGTATCCTATATAATAATAATAATAATAATAAATAACAACAATGATGATGCTATTGTTATTATAAAATGCAATATTTTTGATTTTCAAAAAATAAAAATGTTGTTACTTTGCATCATCCCAGTTTTGCGTTTCAACTTTTTTTATAAAATTATTTGCTAATTTGTCTAAAATTTTTGAATAAATTTGATATCTTGTTAATCCACTTTTTTCTAATAAAGGGTAAACCTCCTAAAACCAAAAAATCAAAAAAATTTGATGATCAATTGAATGTAAAATATCACCAGGAAAATTTTTTAAAAAAAAAAATCACTTCTCCCCATCCATACATCCGATTCAGGAATTTCTATATTACTTTGTTGTTGCATTAAATTTATAACTTCACCTTCATTATTTTCAGCCAGGAGCTTCTTTATTGAATCAAGAAAGACTAAAAATGAACCAATCAACCAATTAGGATTTATTGTCATTAAGAAAATAAATCATAATAATGTCATATTTAGCATATTGTAAGATGAATATAATAATAATTCGAAATTATCAATTATTAATTTTATCAGATATTAAGCCTTTCTTTATTTCAAAAAAAATAATAATATCAATTAGAGATAAAAATCTTTATCCCCTCTTTTATTTATTTTGTTTTTAGTTAATTTTTACTTTGGCAAAAAAAAATCTAAAAAATAATTTCTTACCATTCGTTTTCTCCATTTTGTATGAATTTTTTTAAAAATCAGAAAAATTGAAATATCATGTGATCCACTATACTATCAAACTCTCTTGAAATTTCTCATTTTTAGGTCGATGATCTTTCCAAATTTGTATTTAATAAATAACATACACTTGCCACATATAATAATAATAATGATAATAATAATAATAATATATCACAAATCCGTTGTGGCAAGATAGTAATCTTGCCGCAATAAAGTTTTCTTATTATTATGTGTCCCGTTCATCCATTGTGACAAGGTTTGACTGTATTTAATTTTTTTACACAAGAGAGCCAATTCAAATTTTTTTTACTCTCCCTGAAATTCCCTTTGCATTGCAATGAATTGTTGTAAATGATGATATTCAACCTATAAATTGACTCTTAGATCAATTTCTCTCTGAGCAATTTTTGTTTTTGTTAGTGGTATATTATATACAGAGTTTTATTGGAAACTTTGTGATTTTAATATAATGATTGGTATATTACTTTTTGTATAAAACAAGATAATAATCTAAAATCGTAATTTATGTTTATAGGTAGTAGTAGATACATTTCTCATTTCCGCTCTTTTAAACGCAATTTCTTATGTGTCAGTAACCTTTTTTGTTACCAAGTAATGGCTTCTACACTTTTTGACTTCGGAATATTGTTATATAATTTTATAATATCTTCTATTTTTGTATTGCAAAAAGAATACTGCAGCAATCGCCCGTGATAATAATAATATAATAATATCTACATCCGCAAATAAATTTATTTTTTGTTCCTTATTAACAACTGATCAATTTTGTTTTTTTTTATAACCATGTGTAATTTATGAATTTCTAACTTATTTTGTCGTAGAATATTTGTGACTTTATTAGTATTAACTAAAAGAACAAACTATTCCATTTTGGCAGTGAATATATTTTAATCGCTTTAGTCCATTTTTATATCTTAAGACTGATTTCTTTTAACAATAAGAAATATTATTATTATTATTATTAATTTGTAGAGATAAAGATCAATCTTTAAATTGATCTCTTTTAACTTATTGGTTCGTAGAAATAAAATTGATTTCCTTTTAACAATAAAACATGTCGTCTTGTTGGTTCGTAGGAATAAAACAACTATTCCATTTGGGCGTGAATCTTTAATTTTTTTTATTATTTGAGTCTATTTTTTATCAGTATTAGCGAAGCCAAACAATCTTTTAGACTAATTTCTTCTAACAATAAGAAATATTATTCTTATTAATTCGTAGAGATAAATATTAATCTAGTGAGTGATGTTAGCCAGCTTATAATCTGCATGCATAATTCTAAATTTAGCAATTATTTTTGTATTACTTTCTGCCTATAGTAATTGAAATAAAATTACCAATTTAGGTAGTAAACGACTTAACCAGCTAAGGATTTTTAAATGGCTAAAAATCACTAGATTAATCTTTAAATTGGGGCATGTTGCAACAAAACCAGACGAAGTGAACATTGGTATTACCAAAGATTTCAGGTATCAAAGTTTAGTTGTTTGTAATATGATTATTAAAATCTCTCATTTGTTGTCTTCTTAATATTAAGTGATATATAGAATTACCTCTATATAAAAATAGTTAATATGAAGTTAATTTACATCAGATCTACTATGGAACCCAAA